GGTTGAAGTAATCAGTGACGGAAGGAGAGGGTAACTACTCGATCAAGATTATACTCTGACGCGGGATCCACCCTGGTTCGGGGGAAAATGGTTAAATTAGGTACGATAGTTAATTGATATCGAAAACTAGGTCGCGTTTAATTGAGAATAGTTGGTCGAAAAGTTTTGTGTTTCAATCTTGACTACCTCATTTCTTAAGTATACGGTATACAGATTTGTGCAAACATCAATTTCGTATAAGTTGACTTTCTTATAAGGGAGCCCGGTAGTAAATGGTATAATATATTATTGAAATCTTCCAACAACTTGATCAATTGATACTAAATATTTTTTTAAGAACATCATTCGAAAGCGAACGACTAGGTAAATCATGAATTATTGGTTGGTATAAGATTTATTATTAAACCTCTATCAACAACTCGAAGGTATTGATACTAACGGTTCTTAACAAAGAACACCATTTGAAACACTATGGCTAACTAAATCAATGATTGTTTGGTATATATGCAGGGTGATATTCTTGATATTTTCGACTGCTAATTCATTTTAATTTATCAAAAGTTTTCAACGTAAGATTATATTAAAAAAACTATTTTATCATTTTTTTTTAGGTGGACCCACCTTAAACGGAATCCTGGCTACGCCACTGGAAGTAATAGGTTAGTTGTTGGGCTCTTAAGCTGGAATGTGACAATAAGTCATATTTGGAGAGAGCTCTATGCTCGGCTATATGGAGGCCAAAGTTAGTGTTTGCCCATGCAGGTTGTTGCTAGAGTTCTGTAGGATTGTCGACTGTTTGCATAAGGAAATCCAGTATTCAATGTGAAGATGAGAGTACAAGGCTATGTTTGTTAATAGTTGGTTGTTTCAGATTATTGTAAGGTTTGGCTATATGCCTATATGTCAAATAATGAAAGGAGTTTAATGCTAATTGCATCTCCCGAGCTTAATGGTAATTTATGGTTAACCATAAAAAAAAAATATGCATATCATTTGTTACCAAGTTAAAAACTTTATTTTTCGTTGAATATCAGTAATTACATTACCAAATAATGAAGTTGTTAATTTTCTTTTACCAGCAATCCCAAGATTCATATCAATAGCCCATAATCTTAACTCGCTCTTTCAAAGAAATTTTGAACACAAAACCTGTCAATTTCATCTATCATTCATATTTACTTTATGTATCATAAAATGAGAAACCCATCTCTTACGACATCAACATTAGAATTTCATATTGAATTGTATCTTGAGTTCTTGACAGATATTCATTTGCAATTGCATATCCAACTTTCATTATGTGGATGACAATTGCATTTTTACAAACATGCATCTAATGCAATTATGGATTGCAAGTTACATCATATTTTTATTGTTTTATTGTATATTATCTTTATTATTCAATTATCTTTATTTTTATTATAAATATGCATCTAATTGCCCCTGTATTATTATATTTTCTTAAACTTGCCCCTCTACTATTTTTTACATCATACTTGCCTCTCTATTATAATCACATTCTCAAACATGCCCTTTCGTTAGATTTTCCGTCCAATTTTTGTTAACCATGGTATGATCGTGGCTCGACCTACCTGAAATGACTATAGTACCCCTAATTATTTGTATGAGAAAAATTAATCAAACAAAATAAAAAATAACTTTCTCCCACTCCCACATTTCCCGACGCCGGAGTTGAATTGAAACTGAGAATCCGAACCTACCGGTCGGCAGCATCAACTTCGACGGCGTCGACGTTTCTCGACGATGTCGTCGTCACGTATCCTTGACCAATTCAGCTCCTCCTCTGCTACCTATGCCCCGTCCTCCATGAAGTGCAACCAAAGAAGCCACCGTCCAACTCCTTGCTCAGGCCATGGCTTCCAAGATTGCCGACGATGACGACGAACTCCACGACCTGGATCTCCGTTACATCGATCATCCTCCCCTTCTCTCTATCTCCGCCACTGCTGGTGCTTCAATTGATATATTGGGCAGCTTGCTCCCACTATCCACAAATCTCCTTCCCCAGCTGTAAATTATGTCCACCATTTTTATATTCTTGGATGCTTCAATCGAGACCACTTGTTTCTCTCGATTGCATTCATACAAATTGTGGGAATATGAAATGTGTAGATTAGGATTTGTTTAATTTCCTATTCCACATTCAATTCAATCAGAATTAAGAGGAAAAGAAGAAGTAGATGAAGATATATAGGAACTAGGAGGTGGGTTCTGTATCTAGGGATCGGCGTACGGTACCAGAGTAGTGGTGGTAGATAGGTTTATCGAAGGAGAAGATAAGAGAGAGAATTTATTTTTTGTTTTTTCATGCAAATAGATAAGGTATTTTAGTCATTTTCAGTAGGTCGAACCATGGTTAGTTTGGGAATGTGATTATAATAGAGGGGCAAGTATGATGTGAAAAATAATAGAGGGGCAAGTTTGAGAAAATGTTATAGTATAGGAGCAATTTATGCTATTAACCCTAAAAAAAATTAGTTGCAATTCCAAGAATTGTATTGATGAATGATCAATAAAATTAAAATGATTTAATTTTTCATAATTTTTTTTTATTAAGGGTAGGCACAAAGCCGGGTACAACTTAATTAACAGCTATCTAGGAGGCCCTGCAGAAACAGGTAGCAGGGCATCTCTCAACACAAACTAGATAGTCCAAAAAAGTAGCAGCTAAAGCACGGAAAATCAACTGTCCCTAATGACCAAACGAGGGAAACTAATACCAATTATATCTTCTCTTATGATTTTGCTTAACTTATGTGGTGGGTCGACTAAATCATGCATACCAAAGGGATAGACGAGAATGTGCTTTGAGAGCCAGTCTGCGACTCTATTCCCTTCACGGTATGTATGAATATTTAGCTTCACTACCCAATCTTGAGCCAACAATCTTCGAATTGCTGCGAGAATGGTCGAATGAGGGTGTACTACATCCTCTCTTTTGTTGATGAGATCTATTGCAAGCCTTGAGTCCGTCTCCACCATCAGAAACTGAATTCCCCGACTCCTGACATAGGTAAGACCTTGGTGAATCCCCCAGAGCTCAGCTAAAATGGCCGAACTTGATCCAATTTTATAACACAATCCGCCCAAAGCGTTACCTAATCTAGAATTCAGATCCCCTCTATCCTTTCGTCGGCGGCTTCTGATCTCCCGCCCTCATCATCCTCGATATTCCGATCTCCCCCAGAGAAAAATCGTCGAAGTTGTGGGAAGATCGACGGTAGCGGCCGGAGAGCTTGAGGGATTGGATTGGTGAGATAGAGAGGAAGAGAGGAGAAGGGAGATGGAAGGCTGAAAGACAGAGGAAGAAGATACGTTGTAGATTTGGTGTGGATTTGGTCGTCTAATTAGTTTTGTCAAAAAGGAAATTAGTGAGAGAGAGAAGGAATAAGGGGTCGGTTAGCATGCTAACCCCTCTTAGGGGTTGGAAAAATGACACCCCCTAGTATATTAAATACAACTATAATTAATACACAATAATTAATACACACATTAAATACACATTAGGAATTAAATGTACCATATTAATTAGGAATTCTCTCACTATTAAATACACATTAGGAATTAAATACACACATTAAATGCACATTATGAATTCTCTCACTATATTTGATTTTTCCTTTTTCAGCAGTCTCCGACCACCAGACTTCCTCCGACCGCCACACTTCTCCGGTGAAAATCCCATCGGCAGACTCCCTCCGACCACCTCCAAAAAATATACCACTGCAGTGATACGGTGTACCACTGTACTGGTAGATATACCAATGCACTAATACGTTGTACCACTGTACTGGTAGATATACCACTGTACTGGTAGATATACCACTGCACTGATACGTTGTACCACTGTACTGGTAGATATACCACTGCACTGGTAGCAATGTCATATCTGAGTATCAGTGCAGTGGTACAAATACCAGTAAAGTGGTAATTAGTGTGGTGTATTTAATGCTTACTTTGTATTTAATAACAGAACATTTATTATGTTTACTTTCATTAATACTTGTCAATAATTAATGAAAAATTGACCAATTAAAAGGGGGGTGTCATTTTTCCAACCCCTTAAGGGGTTAGCATGCTAACCCGTCCCAAGGAATAATGGAATGGGGAGGAAAGGTTGAACGCGGAGAGAGTGTATGAGATTAACGTTCGCTAGGATTAAAAAAATATTTACTTTTTTTAATTTTTGTATTAATTTACTGATAAAATATTATTAATTAAACAAACCCCACCTATTTGCACCCTCCTACTTTTTTTCCCAAACAATCATTTGCACCCTAATTTACACCCTTCTCAAATTTGCTCCCCCTACAATTTGCACCTCAATTTGCGCCCCCTTGTACACCCCCTTGTTGCCAAACATAGCGATAATGTCAGCATGTGAAGTAAGGTGTGAATGTTTGACACATTGCTTTTAAGCTATGTGTGAATATTGGGACTCTTCGATGATTGTGTAGTATTTTTATTTCCTTGATGAAATATTTGATTGTAGTTACTTGAGACTAGTGATGCAATTCGAGAGATAGAGCAGACACTTCAATATTCATATTTGTTCCATACTAAAAGTGTGTCAGATCGAGTAATAATTTTACGGATACGTGACAGTGTGGTCCAATTTGTTCGAAAAAGAAATGCCAAAATTTCACTCTTTATGAGAAGACCGAAGGAAAAAATTTATAAATGAAAAGAGAGATAATATATTGAAATTGAGTCATCATGGCACTGGATAGGGTGGGTACCGGTACGGGACGGGATACCCGTCCCGTTTGGAGATCAAAGTCCATTCAATGTCCCAAACCCGTATGATAAACGGGTACCCATTACCCGTATGGGGCTGATAACAGGTACTCATACTACCCATAAATACCTAAAGTTTGAATCACTAAAATTTTAACAGAAGTTTAAACTTAACTTGTACTTGCTTAACAATCACAAAATCATCCCAAATATACAATCACAAATACTCGGTTTGCAAACTACACATACATGAACAATCACAACACATAGAAATAAAGCATTCCAAGCACCCATAAGCCATAACTAATAAGGAAGTTGTTGGCTGCTGCTGTTCTGCTTCAAATAAGAAGATCCATTCAACACAACCAACTAGGGAGGCATGCTGCTGTTGTTCTCCTTCTGCAAGCTACTGTTCTACAAGCTACCAATCTGCAGTTCCGATGACCCCCTAGCGCTTTGCAACCTGCAAAAATATACTCCATTATCAACACATTAAAGGGGAAAGCAAGACAGAAAAATTCAGAAAATGCCACTCAAAATACAAGCAGTCAAGCACCAAGGAAAAATATATCAGAATAAAGATGTTCAGTCTAGTTGATCCTTGTGGGGGCAAGAACAAAGCTCTCGTAAGTCATTTGTCCCAACGACAACATTAAATTAGGCTTGCTGGATGGCAGTTCCGTTTACAAAGAGAGCTTGGTATGCAAATTAGGGGTGGCAGTTCGGTTTCCGATTAGCGGCTAACCGACCGGTTCAACCAATAACCGCCGGTTAGTAGCTAACCGAAAACCGACGGTTATTTGCCTCGATCGGTGTTCGGTAGAATAAAGCTGGTTTTCAGCTAGCCGAGTAACCGAGGATGATTAACCGCGGTTACCCGACTAACCGAACATAACCGACCAGCCATCCTTTTAATAAAAGCCCAACCCTAATTCTTTCTTCTTCGTACTCAAATCCCAACCCTCCGCCATCCAAATCCCAGCCCAGCTCTGCCATTACCTTCGCCCTCCGCCATCCAAACCCCAGTCACCCTCCCCGATGACTCCGTCTCCCCTCCCCGCCCTCCTCGACGACCGGGCACCGCGAGCCATAGTCAGAGATAGCATCGTTTCTCCTCGCCGATTCCTCTCCGACATCGCCATCTCTCATCCCCGACGACCCCAGGCATCCGCGCGTCTCCCATCGCCATCCCTTCCCTCTCCATTTTCACCTTTCCCTGCGCTGGGGATGTCTCCCTTCGCTCTCCTTCGTGGCCGGCGGCGTGCCTCTGCTTCTCCTCCGTGACCGGCCGCCGTGGTGACTAAATCTGCAATGAAGGAAGGAAGGAGAGAGAAGGAAGGAGTGATCGGGTGTTGTGGCTTGTGGGTTTGAAATGGAGGAAGGAGAGAGAAGGAAGAAAAGGGCTAATCTCTGCCCTCTGGTGGTTCTTTTTGGAGGAAGTCAGGAGAGAGAAGGAGGAAGAAGATAAGAATTTAGTGGTAGGGAGAGGAGAGAAGAAGAAGAGGTGGGTGGGGTGGGTATTGGGTTTAATCTTATCTGACAAGAGAGTAGAGAAGTAACGTGGGTGGGGTGGGTATTGGGTTTTTTTCTTCCTTTCCTTTTTTTTAATAAATTCGGTTGTAGTGTGATAAGCCGTTAATTGCACATGTTTTTAACCCTATTCTGGAGCCGTTTGAGATGGTAATTCTCGTGTTTTAGGCCGATTTCACGCTAGGTTGTGTTTGTTTGTGATATTTCAGGTCCTAGCAAATGAATGAAGGTTTAGGAGCGAGTTCGGGGTCGATTGGACGAAGATCGGGCGCGAGGCAAGTCAAAAAGGAAGCCACACGGGCACACCCACAACTCACACGACCGTGCAAGTGACCACTTTGGCCGTGTGGGATTGTGCGAGCCTTCACACGGCCAGCCCTGAAAGCCACACGACCGTGTGAAGTTGCACTTTGGCCTGTGGAATTCTGCGAGGCTTCACACGGCCAGGCTGGGTGAGCTACACGGCCGTGTGACCCTGGCCGTGTAGGAAGCCTGAAATCCAATTACTCGGAACGCGACATTTTGACCTCACACGGGCAACTGGGTATGCCACACGGCCGTGTGAGCCTGCCCGTGTGAGTCGGGAATTTCTGGTTTTTACCCAATTTCGGGCTGCAAGTGAGAGAATCGAGTTTTGAGAGCAAAAACAGAGCCCTAGAGAGAGAAAGTACGAAGAACACATCCTAGAAGCCATCTTGGAGCTGGGTTTCATCAAATCAAGCTTGGAGATCGTCATAGGAGTGGAAATCATCATCCCAGAGCAGATTCTTCCCATAGTTATGAGTATGACTGCTTTGTATTCTGTTTTCCTCTCTCTCTCTATGGAGTAGAACCCTTCTCTCACTTGGGTATGAAGAACCCTAGTTCTATGTGTTAGGGGTTTGATTGTAATGACTTGGGATGATATTACTGTTTGGTTTTAATCGAATGATGCATGTTTATTGAGTCAATTGAAGTCTGATCAGCTTTTCCTGATTTCTGCTGCAACCTGAGATAGATAGAATCTGATTAGGTTGTTAGAGCCTCATCATTCGGTAGTAGGAGATTGGCTATACGAGAGTTAGCCAGTTTACTGCTTTGTACTGGAATCCAATTCCAGTAGTGGAGTTCTGTGCTTATTGCTTCAGCTTTCTATCCCGGTGAAGACTAGTCGTCTGCCGGGTAGTTAGACTGAGAGGGCTTGGTCAGCTTAAGAGATTCCAAGATACTGTCGGATCTTCCGCAGTCTAATCAACAGTAAATCAACCCAGGGAAATTACAATTGAAACCTAACTAAGGAGCTAGGGGGACTCATTCTCGAGTGACTCTTCTTTGCTTGAGAAAACCGTACCAATTCCTGCTTTCTTTCTGCTTTTGCTTAAACAACAATCACTTAACTTAGTTGGCTATATAATAGATACTCACGGAGTAAGCAGTAGATCTAGACCCCGGGTTGATAATAGAACTTGCCATTTTACTGCATTCCCAGAATGCGATTATACTTGGTCGCAGTTTGGCGTTGTGTTTTGGTGTGTCATAGTGGTATAACCGAACCAGAATCGAAAACCGGTCGGTGGTCGGCAGACATGGGGGAAGGTTCGGTTTAACCGAAACCGATAATTTGGTTTTCGGTTTAACCGAAACCAACCGACTGCCACCCCTAAATTGCAAATTAATAAGACCCCACATTTTCGTTTCAGTTTTATTCACATAAACCATACAAGCAGCTCATTCAATGCAAACCATTTTATAAATGAAACTCAACAATGACATGTTCAAGTCTCTACCTTCTACTGACTTGTGGAAGATGAAGTTCCCCCTCTGGTGCTGGTGATTGTTGCTGGCTGCGCGGTGCACTAGTGCTCTTGCCTGTCGGGGAGAGCTGGAATTGGAGAGTTGAATGGAGGCGCAACAATCAAACTAGAAGCTGCGCAATTTCAGGTGATGAGTGTGATTGGGTGCGACAGCGGCGACTAGGTTTCCCCTTCGACTGTGACGATGGTTACGAGCTGCGCGGCGACTGCGCCCTGTCGCGAGGAGAAGGAGAGCTTAGAGGCCGAGCTAGGTCACTCGTGCAGTCGTGCTCGTCTGTTGACAAGGGTCAATTAGTCAACGGAAGGGAAAGGTCGAAATGGGTTCTGAAGTTCTGGCTGGGCGGGGCCTAAAGGAAGACAATTGAAGACGGGCTTTCTTTCTTTTTATTTTGAATGGGTAATAGCGGGTACCCGTATTATCCAAACGGCTATTTGTGGGTAACCAGCGGGTACCCAAAATAGGAATGTACAATTCCAAGTCACATCCGTTAATAATATTACGGGTAATATGAGTACCCGTAACGCTAAAAAAGGGACGGGTTCGGATATATCAAAATACTCATTTCTAGTTGCCCACCCTTAGCACTAGATTGGTGGTGAGTGAATGTCACCCTCATTTTGTGATGATTAGAGAGGCGCACTGACGTTTTTGGCATCGGATTGGAAAGTAAAGATCTCCCATGTGTTCCGTGAAGGCAATGTGAAAGCGGATTACCTGGCTTCCATGAGGCATAGCTTATCATTGGAGACTCACATTTTTGCGCAGCCTTGTACAACACTTAGTCACTGATTGTATCATGACATTATTGGGATTCAATTCCCGCGATAAGTTAATGATTAAGGGTTAGAGTGTCCTTTATTAGGGATGACAATGGGTCGGGTTTTGCCAAACCCAAAGCCATGCGTTTATCTGTGAAAAAAATCCGGGGTAAAACTCACTTAGTATTCACGGGTTCATGGGTACCTTGAGTTTTTGTCGTAAAAAATTTACAATAACAAGTTCATATCCAAATAAGAGTCAAATATCAATTTCTCAATACAAATTATCCATATATAAAACACCATTCTAGAAAATTCAAGCCAATCATAAATTAACCATACAAATTGTTCAACACAAACGCCCAATCATAAATTAACCATACGCTGGCTGCTTCTGCTGGGATGTGGTTTTCCATCTCGTTTGTGGTTTATTTTGAGCTGTTTTGTTCAGTTTTCTACTGCAGACTTGGGCTTTATATTACCCTGCTGCCGGGAGGGGTTACGGTGATTACTTCAAAAGTAGTAATCACCGTGGTTACTAAGGGTAAATTGGGTATGATAAATAAATTGTATTAATTAATTTTTTTAATAAATTACATTTTAGGTAGTTACAAGAATCTATTAAATACAATTTTCTCTCTTTCTCTCACTTCCATAATTTCCACCCAGATCCCCTTTCCTTATTTTTCTCAATCTTTCTGCAAAAGAAAAAAACACGAAATCACTACCAATCCATTAGACAACCACTACCACTTTGAAAAATATCAATACCATTGCAAAAATAAATTTATACCATTACAAAAATACTACCAATATAAACAATCTACCAATATAAATATATACCATTTCACAAAAAATCAATACCATTGCAAATTTAATCAATACCAATGCGACAAAAACAAAATTATACCATTTCATAAAACAAAATAAATAAAACAGTACCAAAACAAAACTATACCAAAGCAATTGAAAGAGTACCATTCCATTTGGGCTTTCTTCTTCTGATTATGACGTCGGCAGAGTAGCCTTTCCAGCCATCCCGAGAGACCATCGGAGACGGAGGGGGGGGGGGAGAGAGAGAGAGAGAGAGAGAGAGAGAGAGTACTTGGCCTCCAATTTGGCCGATCTCAGCGGTGGGTACAACGGCCAGACATGGCGGGGACAGCGGCGTAGCCCGGCAGGGAGAGGGAGGGAGGTGGGAGTCGAGAGAGAGAGGGGTTGGCCGATCTTAGCGGTGGAGGCAAGGGCAGAGGCGACGGGGATGACGGCGTAACCTGGCAGGGAGAGGGAGGGAGGTGGCACACGAGAGAGATGGAGAATGGGCTTGTATTAGGGTTTTGATAAAATATATATAACTTAATTTTGTTAAGGATAGTAATCAGATGTGATATAATTTTTGTTTACAAAACTATCCTTAATCTAATCTTGATCGTCAATTTAAAAATAAGATAAAATAAAGCTAATGAAGGATGTAGATTTTGGTAGCCACAGTGGCTAATAAAAAAGTAGTAATCACCCTAACTCATCTCCTGCTGCCGGTTGGATTTGAGGAGCGTGGTAGTTCATTTTGGGCATTTTCTCACCCGGTTTCTTGTACTGTTTCTTTCTTTCTTTCCTTTTGGCGTTCTGCTGCTGTTTTGTAGTTTTCCTTTGTTTGCAGCTGCTCCATTCTTGTAAGGACCTGATTTGTTCTCTTGTACTTATATTTATTAAAATAATGTCACCCTTATAAAAAAAATATTGAAACAAAATCACAAACTATCCATAAACAAAATGATTAATTGAAAACTTCTTTCTCCTTGTCAATTAAGCTTCTTCACTCTCCACTCGATAATATCAACTTCTTTCTACACAATTAGAAAGAAAAAAATTAGTCAGGTCTCCACAAACATAAAAAATTAGTTGCTTAGAATATTAAATATACTGGGAAAATTAATTATATGAGCGTGAGCAAGTATTCATGAGGCGAGTATACCTAAACCCAAACCCAACCAGGTGAATAGTAACGGTTTTAAAACCAAACCCGCCCCAGAACCCGTCAACACGAATTTTACCCTCATTGACCGAGTTGGATCGGATAGGGTACCCACGGGTTCGGTTGCCATCCTTATCCACTCTATTTATTACCAAAATTTTTTTTGGGTGCAACTTGTAAGTTGCTTTATAGAAGATTAGTGACCATATTGATAATTAACCGGAAAGGGAAGTCAGGTGGCTGTATTTTCTCGGCCCATTTCCGCCGAGAAAGAAAACAAAAAGAAAATACAGAATCCTCTTTCAGTCTTTACTTAGTAGGGTTTGCCGTGGTGGCGGCGGCGATCAGCGAAGAGTGAGGAAGGACTAGTTTGTAGTTTCAGACTTTCAGTTGTAAGCTCCGTCATCGCTGAGTTCCGCGGTCAGCCCTTACTCTGCTCCAGTCTCGTCTGCGCAGTTCTCTCTTCAGGCAGGCATGGAGGAAGTCTGTGAAGGAAAGGATTTTTCCTTCCCCAAGCAGGAGGAAAAGGTTCTCTCCTACTGGTCAGAAATCAAGGCGTTCGAAACTCAATTGTCCCGCACGGAATCCCTTCCGGAATACGTTTTCTACGACGGTCCTCCCTTCGCCACCGGCCTTCCTCACTACGGCCACATCCTTGCCGGAACCATTAAAGATATCGTGACTCGCTACCAGACCTCGACCGGCCACCACGTCACGCGTAGGTTTGGGTGGGACTGTCACGGCCTGCCGGTCGAGAATGAGATCGACAGGAAGCTGGGGATCAAGAGAAGGGATGAGGTTCTGAAAATGGGGATTGATAAGTACAATGAGGAGTGCAGGAGCATTGTGACTCGTTATGTTGAGGAGTGGGAGAAGGTTATCACGAGGACTGGGCGTTGGATTGATTTTAAGAATGATTACAAGACCATGGATTTGAAGTTCATGGAGAGTGTTTGGTGGGTTTTCTCGCAGCTTTGGGACAAAGGTCTCGTTTATAAAGGTTTCAAGGTTGGATAAACCCCCATGCTTGTGTTACTCTTGGGGTTATTCTTTGAAGAATATTTGATTTCTGATCATTATAGGAACAATTCATTTCAATTTGATTGTTTGCAGGTCATGCCATATAGTACTGGTTGCAAGACTGTACTCTCGAATTTTGAAGCTGGCCAGAATTTTAAGGTTTTCCATTCACAGCTTCCTTTCCTTTCCTGATGAAATGCTATCTTCCCATTCCTGTTATTTAAACATTGCAACTTGTTGGGGCACTGCAGGATGTACCCGATCCAGAGATCATGGTAGCTTTTCCTGTTGGGGGTGATCCTGATAATGCGGCCTTTGTGGCTTGGACGACTACACCGTGGACTCTCCCTAGTAATCTTGCCCTTTGCGTCAATCCTACCTTTGATTATGTTAAGGTTAGTCCCTCGTTTTGTACGATCCTCTAGGTATTTGTTTTCAGTTAAAAGAGACTGCTTAATAGAACGCAATTTTGAAGACCAGCTCCGAGTATGTATTGGCTTTTAGACAAGTGCTCATTTCTTTGGTTTGGTGTATCAATACAAGGTGGAAGCAGTAATGTACTGCTAGGGACCTAACCTATTAGAAAAGTTTCCTACTTGACAAAACATCTGAGCATCCGTTATTTAGTACATTGGTTAGAGCTGGAAGCTGCACTAGCTGGGCATATTAGCTTATTTATCCTATGAGAAAGCCAAGTGCTTCAAGTTGGTGAAAGCCTTATTACTGAAAGCTTTTCAGCGGGTGTCCTTTTATGAAAAACATGTCATTCAATAGTTAGACTGCCAGTTAAGTACCTAATATGCAGTGGAAAACTATGTACAGGTCCGCAGCAAGTATACTGGTAAAGTGTATGTAATTGCGGAATGCCTCTTATCCTCCATTCCCGTCGAGAAGCCAAAATCAAGTGATTCAAGGACATCGAGCTCCAAGACAAAGGGTGCAAAGACGGAAAAGCCGATGGATTCATATGAATTGCTACAGAAATTTAAGGGCAGTGAACTTGTAAATAAAAAGTAAGAGTTCTGTCCTTATGAGCCTCTGAGTTTGGATTATGCTTCTTGGTGGCCTGCAGTACTCGTTTAGTATAACCTTATGTTTGGAAAATTTTGCTGCTAATTGTCGAATATTAGTTGGATTCAACTGGCATCTGAGATAATTTTTGTAATAGTTTTGTTAGAGAAAGACATCCAGTTGGGAACCAAACTGGATGCTGAACTTTTAGTAGAGTACTAATTGAAGAATAATAATTTTGCTTAAAAAAATTACTCTCTCCTTTGTCGAAATCTTTGCCACAAATGCTTGGAACTCCCCCCCTCGCGGCGAAATGCAATTGAACTTTGGTCGAACTTGTTTTTAACCATTTTTATTCTTTAAAGAGGAGCTTCTCATTAGCGTGTGCTCTTAGCATGTTAAACCTTCATCAACCACCATATTTTTGCAGCTTTCTTATTGCTTTTACATAATAGTAGGTTAATGTAACCGCTAAATAATTCTATGCAGCTTAGATGTCCTGTCTTTTTCCCCTCCAGACATTGCTTCTCTCTTCCTTGGCTGTGAGAATAACATTTCGCTGTTTTCCTTCACTTCTGAAATAAATTAAAATTGTCATACCTCATTATCAAGATCTCCGTTGCAGGTACGAACCACTGTTCAATTATTTCCAGGAGTTTTCTGACGCAGCATTCAGAGTTGTGGCTGATAATTATGTGACATCTGACCGCGGAACTGGAATTGTTCATTGTGCGCCTGCATTTGGAGAAGATGATTACCGAGTTTGTATTGAGAATAAAATAATCAATAAGGTCTATGATCCATTTTTTCTGCATCTCACAATTTTCCTGCCCCAGAAGCTGTCCTGTGGTTAATTCTAAACTAACCAGTAGAAGGGAATTTGTTTATTTCCATCACGCGTCTCAGTAATCATAGATATATGTAATCCTCAACAAAATTAATATCAGAGATGTACTTATGTGACACGCCTTTTTTGCTTTCTCTCTCCTTTTGTTTTGTTCCCATTAACTCTAATGTAATATTCTTTGTAAAAAAAAAACCCTCTAATGTAATTTTTCCTGGATTTTAGGGCGAGAATTTGGTTGTCGCTGTTGATGATGATGGTTGCTTTACTGAGAGGATTACTGATTTCAGTGGGCGCTATGTTAAGGATGCTGACAAAGATATCATCGAGGCAGTGAAGGTGAGCCCGCCTTGCCTGACATGGATAAAAGGATACAGATTCTGAATTTTTTTCTCCTTTATGTTTGTATACAGAATTTTCTACACTGAGTCCAGTCAAAGGAGGTTATGGTTGTAGCTTTGTGGCTCTTAATTAATACTATTTCAAATAAGTTTACTCTTTCCTGACCGGCTTAAACTATCTTTAATCACCATGAGTGGAATCAAGAATGATGTCTCCGCCTTAATGTCAATCCTCTTTGTTATGGTACTTGTGTTTGGTGCCGATTTACTGTTCATCTGCTTACAATTTCTTTAAATATTTTAGGGAAAGGGTAGGCTAGTAAAAACTGGAAGCTTTATGCACAGCTACCCTTTCTGTTGGAGGTCTGGCACCCCGCTTCTTTATAGAGCTGTTCCAAGCTGGTATGTGCACATTTTTCTTTCCGTCTCCTTTCCCCTTATTTTAACAATTTTTCTTTTGCATTGTGTATAAGGTTATACTGATTGTCATTTTAAATTTTTTCTGTAGGTTTGTTAGAGTGGAAAAGCTGAAAGACCAACTGTTGGAAAACAACAGTCAGACATATTGGGTTCCTGATTATGTGAAGGTTAGGATCTTAACCTGCCCTCTCCTTCTGAACCTAGAACACACTATTTGTCTTTGGACTGTCTGGTGAAGAATTTGAGGTTTTGTAGTAGGGCATGCTGGGGTTTTGAAATCTGCTAATCTTAGTTATCTATTCATCATATCTTTAACAACAGAAGAGTGCAAAGATTGATGGACATGATACTATGAAATTGGAGCATATCAATCTATGGAATTGAAACCTGTATTAATTTCTACTAATTGTGGAATAAGGTCTGCTTGTTCAAAGGATCGACTGATCGCCTTGATCTGTATGCACCGGAACGATGTTATTGGTGCATCCTAAGCATGCACATCCCATGACAACTGCTTTTCAAAGAAGCAAAGTTATGTTGTGCAGCTTGAAAATGAGCTCATTTTTCGAGTTTTTAGGCCAGTAAATCAATCGCATATGTTTTCCTGTGATTTCTAGCATGCTTCTTCAGATTCTTGGTGTTTCTCAGCACTGTTCTTAGTCCTTTCTTCTACCTACTTTGCTTCATATTCTACAGGATAAGCGATTCCACAACTGGTTAGAAAATGCACGAGACTGGGCTATTAGTCGCAGCCGGTTTTGGGGTACTCCTCTCCCTGTATGGATCAGTGGGGATGGAGAGGAAATAGTAGTAATTGATTCTGTTGCCAAGCTGGAAAAACTTTCTGGTGCTAAGGTTTGTTTTCTTTACTGGCCTTCACTGAGTTATGTACAAATAGTGTTTGTTGAACTTGCACATTGTAGTAAATATGAATGTTAAACCTTGGAAACTCAGTGTTGACTTTGAGCTAAATGGGGACAGTTGTGTCTTATGCATCCTGTTTTCTGGTCTAGTGCTTGATACACATATATGGCGAATGGGGCTTGGGGTTTGTAATAAATTTCTGATGAATGGTCCTTGCATATTAAATTTTAATGCCTCCTTCGATGTTTATTGTTCCTGGTGCATGAGGGTATAGAGGTTCTTTTTACTACTGAGTTGGATTAAGAGCTATCTTCATTTTTTTCCCTCCATTTCTATTTGTTCTGTCTGATGACTGTTGAATATTTTCCAGGTGTTTGATCTGCACCGTCACAAGATTGATCACATCACGATCCCTTCTAGTCGTGGCCCTGAATTTGGGGTGCTTCGGCGTGTGGACGATGTAAGCCTCTAGAAGAGACTCGGTGGTTTTCTGTTATCAGATTTTTGTTAAACTAGAATCTTGGATTTATAATCTTGACTATACGCTTTCTTTGGCAGGTTTTTGATTGTTGGTTTGAGAGTGGGTCGATGCCTTATGCTTATATCCATTATCCCTTTGAGAATGAAGAATTTTTTGCAAAAAATTTTCCTGGTCATTTTGTTGCCGAAGGGCTAGATCAAACTCGTGGATGTTTGGTTCCTCCTTTTCAACTTTCATAACTATATTTGTGAGCATTGAATGTGTTTATACATGTGTCTTTTAGTGATTTTTTGTTGTTCCTGTATGTCCTGCAAAGAAACGCAGTGATAAAATACTTTCTGAACATTCTCATGACATAAGTCTGGTTTCTGTAGCTCTTGTCACCAATAAAAAGTGATTTTGTGTAGATTTTTTAGCTTGAGAATGTAGGCCAATCAACATCAAGTAACTCATTTTTTAATATGTAATGCTCCCCAAAATTGCTTGACAAGAACATTGCTGATCCCAATAGCTCCAGTCACCACAAGGAACTCACGAGGAATTCTGATTGGTATTATATTATTGATTGCAGGTTCTATACTCTCATGGTGCTGTCAACTGCATTATTTGGAAAACCAGCATTTAGGAATCTTGTCTGCAACGGTCTGGTCCTTGCTGAGGATGGTAAAAAAATGAGTAAAAAATTGAAGAACTACCCATAACCAATGGATGTAATCGATGATTATGGAGCTGTAAGTGTTAAGACCTTATTACTAGTTGTCTTGGGGTTTTGTTATGCTTTTGTGTATTTGAGCCCTGCTCATTTTTTAGCATTTTGTTTTTCTTTGACACAGGATGCTTTAAGATTGTACCTTATCAATTCTCCAGTTGTGCGGGCTGAAACTTTGCGTTTCAAGAAGGATGGAGTCTATAATGTTGTAAGTGCATTCAGAAATATCTTAATAATTAAGTAGTGCACATTGATTATTAGTTGAAGCTCAATCTCCTCCATGATCTGGGCTATAAAAGAGGTCGACCCAGTTCTTCTATGTTCAGGTTGGGTCGAGAGCCGGCAATAGAAGGGTTTTCTGTCCACTATGCAGTATAAGTTTTGCTGGGCCTTCTAGTTCGTTACTAATTGTAGACACTCTACCCAGCCATATTTACTGCTTGTTCTGCAATTCTTTTTATCATTATGATTTTTGTTATCTTTTTGTCATGGCATGATGGAGATAGGCCTCTCATGTCCTATTCCTACAAAGTAGCGATAATGAAGTTGCAACTTCATTGAGTTTTGGGTTTAACTAACATATAGTAGTTTAGTAGTCAATAGAAGAGCGAGCCTTTATCTCCAGTGACAAAGGAGTTGTGTTCATAAAACTCTGAAACTCATAGGTCTTCCCTTGAGCCCCTAATGTTGTGCCTGCATATGAAGGAGGACAAATCTCTTTGATCATTTACTAATACCACCAGTCACTACAGTTACCTTCCAACTACTTGCTGTTAACCTTTGACAATGCAATTATCCAGCATGCATTTTGTGTTTATTTGGGCTTATAATTTTTTTATTTTCTTCACCTGTTATCTCTTCTGTTCATGTTCTCTGTGCATATTCCTCATATTAGCCCCTAATGTTACCTTTCAACTACTTGTTGTTAACCTTTGACAATGCAGTTATCCAGCATGCATTTTGTGTTTATTTGGGCTTATAATTTTTTTATTTTCTTCACCTGTTATCTCTTCTGTTCATGTTCTCTGTGCATATTCCTCATATTAGCCGTCATTCTTATGTGCAGGTGAAAGATGTCTTTCTTCCATGGTATAATGCATACAGGTTTCTTGTTCAGAATGCCCAGAGACTTGAGGTTGAAGGACTTGCACCATTTTCTCCTGTTAGTCCAACAGCTCAGCAGAAATCTTATAATGTGCTTGATCAGTGGATCAACTCAGCTACTCGAAGTCTTGTACATTTTGTCCGCAAAGAAATGGATGCTTACCGACTTTACACGGTTGGCACTGTCCCAGAGCATTTCTGTTCTGCTGGATTTCTTGCATTCAATGATTGATAATTTGTGTCTTCTTATGTGTGTTTAGGTTAGGTTTACTGAAATTTCATATCCCCTGATAAATTTCTCTTTATAATGTTTGCAGGTGGTTCCATATCTTCTGAAGTTTCTGGACGACCTGACAAATGTATACGTCCGCTTCAATCGGAAGAGATTGAAAGGTCGTACTGGGGAGGAAGGTTGCCGAATCGCTCTCTCCACTCTCTACAACGTATGTTTTCATTAATCATATCGTTATATAAATGGATTTGGTTCCTATATGGTTGATCTCTTGGAGTCCTTTGCTACTGTTGTTATATTGGATACTTGTGATGACTAAAAAATGATCGGTGCTTCAGGTGCTTCTAACTGCTTGTAAAGTGATGTCATCATTCACACCGTTCTTCACAGAGGTCCTCTATCAAAATATGCGGAAAGTTTGTGCAAACTCAGAAGAAAGCATTCATTATTGCAGTTTTCCTCAGGAAGAGGGAGAGGTACTGCCAAATCATTTTGTAGATGTGCTTAGTTGATCTTTGTGGCTTAAGTTTTGGTCCACTTCTTTCACTATTCGAAAAGCTCATCATTACTTTCTTTGCATCCCATGACAATCCCATATCAAAAAAGATTTTTTCTCATTTCCCTCTCCCTTGCACACAACATCTCTTCCCTTTTACATTTCATCTATAAAGTATATTCCCATTACAGAGAGATGCACGAATTGAGCAAAGTGTTTCAAGGATGAAGACCATTATCGATCATGCTCGTAATATCCGTGAGCGGCATAACAAACCTCTCAAGTCACCACTTAGGAAGATGATTATTGTTCATCCTGATGGAGACTTCCTTAATGATATAGCTGGAAAACTATGTGAGGTTTGTCATAACTATGTGCAATTTTTATCTATCAGCTTCAGAATTCTTTTTTTTTTTCGCCCTCTTCGATACATCTTCACGTGTGAATTCTTGTTGCGCAATTACTTCAGTAGCATATCCGATTGCTTTCCAGGTTGGAAGAAATTGTCTACTTGAAAGTGTCTGTATGATGGATGCCTCTACTGGATTCTTTGGTGCATTAATTGGCATGCAAATGCATAGATTGGAAGAAAGTGTCTATTTGAAAATGGGGATTGGATGTTCCAATAGTTACTCTCTAGCTCATAATTTGTACTTTTAGCACCCAATTTTAGGACAGACTAATTATATGCTAATTAGTTTTTCCATTTACTCTAGCATCGGAATTTCCAGTTTTGTTCTAATTATCTGACAATAAATTATTTTTGTTCCATTGTAGTTTGTACGAGAGGAACTCAATGTAAAAGATCTCATCACATGTAATGACACTTTGGAGTATACTTCTCTACGAGCAGAGCCCGAGTTCAGGTATCATATTATTGTTATTATTATTAGGTGACTTCTACGGATACCTTGGCATCTTAATCATTCATTTTCAATCTCCACGGCTCGCGTTTGTTGAACTTAACTACCCCACTAAATAACTAAGCAAATTACAAAAAGCCTCCTTACGCGTTAAGATTGTTTTCATTCTAGTCCAACTAACTGCCCCATTAAATTAAATGGATTAAGACTGCAAACCCAATTGGGTAGACCCACTGCCGCCCTAACCAATTTCCAGTCTCCTAACCAATTACACAATCCATCACTCGTCTTGGAGGGGACGCCCCTTCAAAGTTCTAAGAAAAGCTCCCCATCCAATTTGAACTCCCCAACATAATCATCTTTTTGAATTCATTGCAGCCAATGCAGTCAAAATCGCGCTTTAAAACTTGAAAACTTACGATTTTACGCTTTTGGGTCACCAAAACGCTTTCGTTTCCATATAAAAACTTGAATGTATAAAATCGCACTAAATTGCGCTTTAAAGCTTAAAACTTACGGTTTTACGGTTCTAGTTCACCAAAACGCTTTACGTTTTTACGATTTTAGTTCACTAACTGAGTATTCTTTTCATGAAATTAATTATAAAAAGTATATTTTTAAAGTAAATCACTAACAATATGATACATTTGAGATTAAAAGATACATACTAGGTACTGGGATGTATTCTCAACTTCAATAGAGTAATCTAATTCACCAGCTAGGGTTTTCCCAAATTCATTAGCATAGAGGGAAAAGTGGGCTATCATTAAAATTTATGTTTACGAACTTATTATTAAGATGCTATAAGTTGCTCTACTTTAAACATGAATCACATGTATTTATTAACTTATCTAAATTCTGTGTATTCATATTTTGCATAGCATATGTCCTACTTAATAGATTTTCAGTTATTTTTCAGTATGCGTAAAAAACTTACGCTTTTACGCTTTGATTCTACGCTTTATGATTTTACACCTTTTTCGCTTCTAGGTAGAATCGCGCTTTTGACTGCATTGCTTGCAGCCACATTCGACGTAGTTTGAATTTCCCCATTTCTTTTGTTTTGTTTGTTCTTCGCCATTTTATTTCCCCTCGCCTATCTCTTTCTAACACGATTACGGCGACCATGTCTATTATTGTGTTCATCAAACTTTTCATTCTGCTAACCCTAGGGTTCATGTCGCTAGTGCTTTGTCATGTTGTCTTAGCATTATTGTCATTTTCTCGAAACTTGTATCTCTCGGTGAAATTAAGGTTTCCTGATATGTAGGGATCGTCTCGCCCAGAGGATTGAGGAAGAAGATGAAGAAGACATAATTTGATTCGCCTTAACTTTTGTTTATGTATTAACGGTGCGTTTATGACTAATTCTAGTTGGACTAGGATCTGTATTATTTCTAGGTCTAATCATTGATTTTTGCGGGCTTTTAAATAACATTCAAAAGTAGGCTTGTACATGATCCATAGAATATTCAAAAGTGGCCTGGAACGTGCGAGCCCATTTCATTTCTCCTGCCGTATCATCTGTTTGTTCGGCCTCGAAGAAGTTACGAACCTACGACTATTGATTCCTGTGCCAACCCTAGTTAAACTAGCATGAATTAACCTAGTTTAACCTACATGAGTTACCATCATCATTACATATCTTCCGTAATCTTCTTGACTCTTGACATTCCACTAACCACAGTCCACCGTCTCCATCACCCTCACGTCTCCACCCCCCACGATCACTTTTTCTTTCCCCACTTATCTCTCCATCTTACACCTACATTATCTCTCTCCGTCATCATCTTCCCCTACTTCTTCCCTACAATCTGAAATCCCGCGATGGCAATGAATAGCCGATCGTTTGCGGAGATGGGGATACTTTCTTTATCCAACAATGACTGTCGATCCACCTCCAGTCTTGGTGACTATCTCTCGTTTTCAAGCAAAACCACTATTGTCGTCGAGTACGAGTTCATGCACCTTATTTCTTTCCCTCTCGAAGTGAAGACATTAATTAAAAGTCTTGGCTGGGAAAATTTCTTCGTTCTCCGGAGTCGAGAAAGTACAAGTTACTGTCCCCATGTCGTGAGGAAGTTCTACCACAATCTTGAGCTTCTTGTCCCTCGGATTCTCATCTTGTGTCGATCTTCCTCGGACATCGAGTATGCTTTCGGTCTCATCAATTTGCAGAGATCATTGATCTTCCGCTGGAGGAGACCCCATTACGAGTAGAAGCGATCTTGCGCGGCTTCACGAATTTGAGTTTGAAGTTGAACTGTCGGAACTCACGAAGGGCGGCATTGATGCTTCTTTCCTCCCAGATCCTCTTCGATTCCTCCACTGGTTGATCGTCAACTGCTTTCTTCCAAGGTACCGTGGTCATTCCATTATTCGTAAACTTGACTTGTTTGTCCTTGTGCAAGCTCAGAGAGGTGCTCTTGTTAACCTCGCATCTCCAATGTGTCTGAACATGCTCGAAGCTGCTCCCAAAGGGGAAAACAGGTTTATTGCCTTTGCCTATGCCTATGCCATCTTCGTCACCACCTTTTCTTGAAAGAGTTGGGATGGATTTGAGCGTTTATATAAAGGAAGATCATTCTGCTTATTTGCCGGTGTACCGCATAGCCGAATTGACTAATACTTTTCTTGAGAATCGGCATACAGAGGAGCATCAACAGACCCCTGAATCCTCCTTAAGCAAACGTCCTCGGCTTGCATGAGAGTCGATTGATGTAAAAAAAGCAGAATGGTCAGCCGAAGACGTTAGCTTAAGGAGGACTCACGGGTCTGTTGATGATCCGTATGTCGATTCTCAAGCAAAGTAATAGTCAATTCGGCTATGCGATACATCAAAAAATAAGCAGAATAGTCCACCTTAACATAAACGCTTAGATCCATCTCAACTAGGGATGGCAATAGGTCGGGTTGGGGCGGGTTTTCTCAAACCCAAACCCAAACCCATGGGTTTATCCACCAAAAAAATCCGGGGTAAAACCCGTTGGGTTTGAAAAACTCAAACCCAACCCAACCCGCTGGGTATCCCCGGGTTCATGGGTACCCGTGGGTTTTTGTGGTAAAAAATTTACAATAACAAGTTTCTTTCAAAATAAAAGTTTAACATCAATTTTCTCATACAAATTAATCATACAAAAAAACACCAATCTAGAGCATACAAGCAAACTGCAAATGATCAATACAAATTGTTCAAAATTAAAGACAAACATCTATAAACAAAAGATTAATTGAAAACTTCTTCCTCGTCAACTAAGTTTCTTCACTCTCCACTTCATAATATCAACTTCATTCTAAACAATTATAAAGAACAAATTATACATGTCTCCACAAACATAAAGAAAATAAATTGTTTAAGGAAAATATATTATTTAGAATATTAAATATACCGGGAAATTAATTATATATGTGTGGGCGGGTACCCATGGGTCGGGTTTACCTAAACCCAAACCCAACCCGACCCGGTGAATGGTGTAGCGGGTTTAAACCCGAACCCGGCCCAAAACCCGTCAACACGGATTTTACCCGCGTTGACCGGGTTGGGTCGGGTGGGTACCCGTGGGTTCGGGTTTTGTTGCCATCCCTAATCTCAACCTTTTTATTTAAGGAAGGTGGTGACGAAGGTGGCACAGGGAAATACAGTATACCAGTTTTCTCCTTCGGGAGCAGCTTCGACCATATTCAGACACATTAGAGATGCGAGGTTAACAGGAACACTTCTCTGAGCTTGCCCAAGACAAACAAGTCAAGTTTACGAATAATGGAATGACCACGGTACCTTGGAAGCAGTTGACGATCAACAAGTGGAGGAATCGAATAGGATCTGGGAGGAAAGAACCATCGATGCGGTCCTTCGGGAGTTTCGATAGTCAACTCAAAATCCTGAAGCCGTGCAAGATCGCTTCTGCTCGTAATGGGGTCTTCTCTAGCGGGAAGATCAAGGATCTTAGCAAATTGATGAGACTGAAAGTAGACTCTTATGTCCGTGGAAGATCGACACCAGATGAGAATCTGAGGGACCAGAAAGGTCAAGATTGTGGTAGAACCTCCTCACGACATGGGGGCAGTAACTTTTGTTTCCTTGACTCCGGAGAACAAAGAAATTTTCCTAGCCAAGATTTTTGAACTCGTACTCGGCGACAATGATGGTTTTGCTTGAAAACGAGAGATAGTCACCAAGACTGGAGGTGGATCGATAGTCTTCGTTGGATAAAGAAAGTATCTCCATCTCCACAAACTATCGACTGTTCTTTGCCATTACGGGATTTCAGATTGTAGGGAAGAAGGAAGTGGGAGAATGTGAAAACAGAAGAGAGAGATAATGTAGGTGTAAGATGGAGAGATAAGTGGGGAAAGAAAAAGTGGTCGTGGGGGGTGGAGACTGTGGAGGTAAGTGGAATGTCAAGAAGATTACGAAAGATATGTAATGATGATGGTAACTCGTGTATGTTAAACTATGGTAAATCATGCTAGTCAAACTAGGGTTGCTTAGGAATCAATGGTCGTAGGTTCGTAACTTCTTCGAGGCCGAACAAACAGATGATGCTGCAGGAGAAATGAAATGGACTGCTGATATGATCCCAAATAGCCAACTGTACACGTCACAATTACTCGACAAAGAAGCTAACGAAGTTGAGAAGAAGAAGGGCAGAATTTGGCTAAGTCAAAATCCGTGTTCAGGGTACATACTTTGGAGGCATGGTTCTCTCAATTGGCTTAGTGGAAATTCAATTTTAAGGGTTTGTTTTGCAGATAAAGTTACCATATTTCCAATGGTATGCTTGGTGGATCCAGATGATGTCATTAAGGTTGTTTTCCAAGGCCTCAAATTTGCTACCTCAAAACTGGAAAACTGCCAGAAAATGGCTAAGGCAGGAAACTGTTTTCTGAAGCCTACTTTGGAGCTCAATTCAAGGAGCATGGATGGGATTCATGTCAAAAGGCGTCCACAACATGAAACTAGGTATGTTTATCTACCAAGGGAAGGAATCGGATGAAAGATTGGAGTTCGGGAAGGCCTCGAACGCAAGGCGCAAAGTTAGTACGAAAGCTGTCTTTTGACTGTTTTGCGGGCAGCTTACTTGTGCTTCAAGAAAGGAAGTTTAAACCCGAATTTTGTGTCCTTTTAGTGTAGAAGTTTACCTTAATTGTTTCCTAGTTATACTATGATTGTATTAGGTTTTATTTGCCTTTAAATATCGTTCTATTTCGTTGTAAAATTCAGACGTTGATTAATCGAAAAGAAACCGTTTGGTTTGTGCAAGTTGCGACTTGTTTTGGGTTTGGTGGATTCCAAACTTGCTGAGCTTGTGTATCGATTGAATAGTCACTTCAATCGTGGTCGAGCAACTACCCTTTTATACCAATCGAGCTATCCCCAGGTGTGGATTTGTCCTTTTGGTTCCGTTTTATCCAAGTTCGTATTAAGAACGCGTTGTTTTTTATTCGAGCTCAATCGATTCTTCGATTGAGTCGTTAGCTGCTTGACTTTGATAACATACACCCCCCAGGGGCGTATTAGCTGCTGCAGGAGAAATGAAATGGGCTCGCACGTTCCATACCCACTTTTGAATATTTCATGGATCATGTACAAACCATTTTTGAATGTTATTTAAAAACCCTGCAAAATTCAATGATTAGACCTAGAAATAATACAGATCCTGGTCCAACTAGAATTAGTTCTAAACGCACTGTTAATATATAAACACAAGTTAAGGCGACCCCTCCATCTGACTCGAATCAAATTCTGTCTTCTTCCTCAATCCTCTAGGCGAGACAATCCCTACATATCAGGAAACCTTTATTTCACTGAGAGATAGAAGTTTCGAGAAAATGACAATAACGCTATGACAAAGCACTAGCGACATGAACCCTAAGGTTAGCAAACATTTTTCAAGGGTTCTTGTGCAAATTGGATAGAAGGATTTGGGGTTCAAAACGATGATTATGTGGGGATTTCAGATTGGATGGGGATCTTCTCTTGGAATGTGGATACATAGATTTGGGGTATGAAATATGATGATGTTGGGGATTTGAGATTGGATAGGGAGCTAAATCGAATGTGGATCAAATAATAAAAGGATTTGGGTTTCGAAACGATGATTTTGTTGGAGATTTCAAATTCGATAGGCAGCTTATGTTCGAACTTCGTACTAAGAGGGGACGTCCCTCCAAGACGAATGAGGGATCGTAGAAGGGAGACTGGAAATTGGTTAGGGCGGCGGTGGGTCGTATCCATAGGGTTTAACTTCTTAATCCATATAATTAAACCGGGTACAGTTAGGTTGAAATCGAATGAAAAAGGTTTTAACGCTTCGTGATGCTTTTTGTAAATTTCCTTGCCCCAAGACTTCCGTACTCCGGATTTTGCCTTGGACACCCTAGAACTGCCCATCATCATTATTATTATTATTGATGCTGCTGCTATAACGTGATACTGTTTTGTATGACACTATAAGCATTTTTCTTTACCTTTTAGTGCGTTAGGTAAACGGCTTGGAAAAGATATGGGAGTTATTGCCAAAGAAGTGAAAGCAATGTCTCAAAACGAGATTTTGGAGTTTGAGAAAGTTGGTGAACTTACCATAATGATGCACTGCCTAAAGCTAACTGACATCAAGGTGAGTTCTTCAGTGGTTGCTTTCTTACGAATGTTTAATTCACTGCTTCCATCCTTTTACATTTTTATTGAAAGCAATTATCTAACCTTGCAGGTTCGTCGGGAATTCAAACGTCCTGATGCTTTGACCGAGAAGGAAATGGATGCTGCTGGAGATGGTAGGATTACTATTTTGGAAGTTCTTCGACACTAGTTTTGGACTTAAGCGGATGCCTTAAGTGTTACTCTAATGTTTTTGCAGGTGATGTACTAGTTGTTTTGGATTTACGGCCAGATGAGTCCTTGTTTGAGGCTGGCTTTGCTCGCGAGGTACATCTCTTTTCTGTTTATGTTAAGTATAGACATTGTCTCTGGCATCTGTAACTTCATATCGGCTTTGATTACTAGTTACTTTTACACAATTGACATCCCATATGTCTGCCAAAACCTTTATCGTCATATAGTGTCTGAAATTTTTGGATATTTCACATGTTTGAAGCAATATCATTATTTTCTGCTGAACTTTGGTAGCCAAAGCAGCTTTGATGGAATTTTATTTTCACTTGATGCTGAGTACAGGTGGTCAACAGAATCCAAAAACTAAGGAAAAAGCTTGCGCTTGATCCTACTGATGCTGTGGATGTTTACATTGAATCCTTGAAGGAAAACTCAACCCTGCAGCGAGTTCTCGATTCACAGGTAAAATTGATCTCTGTTAGTTCCAGCTATGTGAAACACAAAGAAGTTATTCAGTATTGTAAGCCTACTGAAATTATCAGTCTTTTGTTATTGCTTCTCTTCCTTATCCTTTTTTTCGATTTTTTTATCCTGGTAGCTGTCGCTTTCCTCTTCCAAACCAGATTGCGCTTGATCCCGTCTGTACAGCTGTTTTCTTTACAAAGTGTTGGATTCTGGCTTTCTTCGGGTTTAATTAGTACATTCGGACTTAAATGTTTCAGGAACTCTATATCAGGGACGCAATTGGTTCTCAGTTGCTTCCATCTACTGCAATGCCATCACATGCTGTAAGTTGCATTCCCTATGACCAACATGTGTCATGCCTGCTTGTGAAATTTTTAATTATTGACTTGGATTATTTTATTGAATAGTGCTCATGTTGAGAAACTCCACCACTAAACTGTCTGTCTGCATTAGGCTGATTTATTTGCCAGAATTTGCACTAATTCTATTGCTAAGCTGGTGGGCTAGCCCATTTTTACGTGGACCTATATATAAGTTGAGGTTGTACTTGATATTGAATTTGATTATGGAAACTGTAGCCTCTAGCTATTCCCGCAGTTGGGTCATGATAGCTCCCTGACCTCACCACAGAGCAATTATGGTTAGAGATAGCATGGATAACAGGCAGGCTTACTAAAAGTCTTGAGTTGGTAGTTTACCGCTTATTGTCTGGGTTCTCCTTTCTTAGGATATGCCTCTGTGTAACTAAAGAAAGAAGAAATGTCAAGACTAAAAACAGATCTCCTTGGTGCACAGGCATTTTCCATCAGTTCACGTTGGAGATTCAAATTTTTTTTTTTTTTTTATTTCGACGGTTACTGCAGGTGGTGATTGGAAACGAGGCTTTTCACGGGATCTCTGGTTTGTCATTCTCAATCTCTTTGGCAAGGGCAGCGGTGATGATAAATTCAGAATCTTGTGCTGCTTTATATGGAGGTTCGTCTCTCGCGTTTTTGCTGTAGATTACCACGCCCTCGCTGATGTTGCTTGTGACTAACGGTATTATCTGAATCCCACTGCAGGAAATACTCGATTTTGTCAGATGTTACAAGTTTACTTGGTGTCTAGGGACCATAGTAATCTCAAAATAGAGGTCCAGCTAGGAAATGGGACAGTAAGATAGCTGCTTCTTCTTAAGAGTTTACGTTTCTTGGTGACCCTTGGATCCATGCCCTGTTAATGTTTATTTACGGTCTTTACTGTGGTTTCAGATAAGGGTAGATTCCATTGAGAATCTGCCTCCTGTGGAGCTAGAGTTGGGAAGGCACTTTCACTTGACCGTAGGAGATCACTTCGTGGCTACAAGAATGCAACTTGGCTGAAAATGCATAGTCGAGATGGATTCCCCTCTGGTTATAATGGACAGCAGTTTTCTTCCAACTTTTCTTACAGTATTTTGTAGTTGATTGAAGTGAAGTGATGAATGTAGTCTAGATTTTGCCATCACATTCAAGAGAATTAGGGCTTGGAGTCCCCCTTTTGTATTAACCAACCTAAGAATGAAATAGGTTTGGGGTACTTTGTAGATTTTGTACCTACAGAGAACTAGGGCTTATTTGTTTGCAAATTCTACTTGTGACCATGTAGGAGAGATGGGGGAAAGCAAGGACTTTACGTGAACCGCAACGCAACATGTTGGGATTATACGAGTTTGGCGTGAGATTGCTAGGTTGGATGTTGGTAACATAATGCCTAGTTAAGTAGGGCAACAATTTCCACAAGGTCTGTTATTCATTGCATTTTAAATGCAAATAAGTTGGAGAATGGATTTATGTTGGCAAAATATATTTTAGTATTCACTTATATTAAAAAATTTGGTACCTAAAAATTATTTATTTTTAGGATTATAGGTATAATATGCCCTTCTACTTTCGCGTAGATTTCTAATTCTAACTTCTGCTTGATCGGAATCCTTGCATTCTTCCCGCTCCCAAAAGCTTTTGCTACTTCCAACTTCCCCAGGTCACCACTTCCTCCAATTCGGTTGTCGCAAGTCACATAAGTTTTCGATTCATTGTTATGATGGTTTCATTCGAATAGTGATGCAATCAAAACCATGACTGCGGCCTGCGGGTAATCCCCCCTTTGATCGGGTATGGGGCAGGTATGGGTAAAACCCGCAAAAAGTTGGATGGGTATGGGGCGGATATGGTTTTAGTCTCCCCACCCAATACCCATACCCATATCCGCCCCACCAAGAGAATTTCTTCACATATACAAATATATGTGGATCAAATTGTAATCTATCAATGATGACGATGATAACTTGAGGAAATAAATAGTAGAAATGCAGTTGAGTGACCACCTTAATCAAAACCTAATTCATTTCCCTCCATTCTCCTTTCACTCTCACTTTCCCCTTGTCAACAAGATTATGTTAGTTAATTATTTTTTAGTAGATGTATGAGAGTTAGAACATAATAATTAAAAAAAATTATACTTTATATTATGTATTAACGAATGTTTTAGGATTCTTTGAACCGTATTAAGAAAATGATCGTGTTTTGTTGAATTCGTGATATAATAGGTACGTTTAGAGTTGTAGTTAAAACTTTTCTTGTAAATTTTAGGATAATAATGTTGAATGTACTGGTATGGGTATTACCCATGGGTACTCGAAACCCACGGGTATGTGGATGGGTTTGCCAAACATTCCCCCGCATGGGTATGGGACGGGTATGGGTTTGGATATTTGAAGATGGGGATGAGGATGTTTTAGACAAATCCGCCCCATTGCCATCCCTACATTCAAAAGTGAATAGCGATACATCAGTTCCGCCCGCTATTTAATTGGTTGTCAACCTACAAGTATTGACGCCATCGATAGAATCTATCATCTTCGCCAATATAGTTATGTTGCTTACAACATAAACTGTGAGTATATACTCACACGGCCGATTGGAGGTCCACGACGGCAAGCCACGATCTGAGGGTGTGGAGATGATTGGCGCCGACAGGTGAGAGCCAAGGCTACCTTTGCTGCTCGACTAGCCCAAATATGCCAATAAAACCTGGCCCACCCAAATTCAAACACCAAAAAATTCAAAAAAACCCTACCTTTTATATAGTTTCCTCTTCTCTCTATCATTATTCATTACGTTGGTTTTATTTCTCTCCCCTCTCCAAAAGATTTCCCTTTCCTCTCCCGATAATGCACAAAAAAATATTTCCGTCGAGGGTTGCGATGAAGATGACGGCGGCGACGAGGACTGCAAGGAAAAAGACGATGACGCGAGGAAGAAGACGACGACGCAAGGAGAAGACGCCGGTGCTTGGCAACGATGGTAGCGGTGCTTGAAGGAAGAAGGCGTCGGCCGAGAGGGAGGAAGACGACGACGACGACGGCAAGGAGAAGAAGATTGTTGAGGTAGATGTCTTCCTTTCTCTTGATTCATTGATTCGACTGTATGGTTTTATGGATTCGAGATCTGGGATTCTGTGGGGTTGGGATCTGTGATTCAATTTGGGGAATATGGGATTCTATGCGTTTGGGATCTGAGATTCAATTTGGGAGATCTAGGATTCGTTTGGGGGATTTGGGATTTTGTGCGGTTGGGATCTGGGATTCGATTTGTAGATCTGGAATATTAGTTCGCTTAATATGGATAATAGTTAGCATGCTTTGGATACTACTTTTTATATTGTGGATATTACTATTGATTGTTCGAATATTAGTTATGTGATGTATGTATATTTGTTTACTCTGTCTTGATATTTCTCTGCACTATATGGATGTTAGTTCGCTTATATTAGTTCTGTGCGATTACGATATTATGCCTGATATTAGGTATGCCATTGGTGGATATTTTTATGGTTTGTTATGATATTACTCTGGATGTATGGATTATAGTTACCTTATATTAGTTCTGTGTGACGGGGATATCAGTTGATTTATAACTAGATATTTATCTATGATTCCAGGGATATTGGACAATGGCAAGAACTAAAACAAAAGCGAAGAGACCGCAACTAAGAGAAGGACCATCCCAACCTCGTCGTGGCATGACCGAAACATGGGGGCTTGGAGGACATGATCAAAAAGATTATCGAGAGTTTGATCAAGCAAGACAACATTTGAACTATTCCTTTTTCGTTTTTTTACGTGGTTGTACTTTTTTGGATTTTAGATTATGGGATTGCCAAGTTGGAATGACATTAATACTAGTTGTATCGCGGTTTGTCGAAAAACAACTTTATTTTATATGGATTTGTTTAAACTCAATATCAACACAAACAAACATAGATAAACATCCACACAAAACAAATATCCACACCACCGATACTAATATCTCACAGTCTAATACCAATATCTAGTCAGTCCATAATTAATATTCTCACCATCACAGACTAATACAGACTACACACAAAATAATATATGACCATCGCGAACTAATACTCACTACACGGGAAGTACCAACACATCGCAAACTAATATCCTCCCATCACATAGTAATATCTTATCACCACAGACAGATATCAAATCATTCTTCATTGTGTTCATATCCATTTCCACAACATCATCTTCTAAACCCTAAACCAAAACAACTCTCACTCTAAACCCTAAAAAATATCCACACCATCCAAACTAATATATCACTGTCTCAAACCAATATCCAGTCATTAAAAATGTAATATCTCACCATCACAGTCAAATATCAATAATACACAGACTGATATCTCACCGTTGCAGACTAATATTCGACTACACAGACAAAATATCGAAGCACCATACATTGTGTTCTAAACCACGAACTCTAAACTCTAAACCCTAAGTAGGTCAAGTGGATGTAGTTGTAATTAGTTGGGGGGCTTTGAAATTATTTTGGTGAAAAGTAAACGTTAGCTTTGTGATGTAAAATGAGGATGAATACTCTTTTGGGCAAACACGAATATTATTAATCAGAAGGTCTAATAATAACAACTATGTAGACTAATATCCATAAAGGAAACAAAAAATCTAATCACGTAAAACTAATATTCGATTACATAACGGGCAAAACTAATATTTGTCCTTTATCTAACAAATACCCATTCATCCCAAAATAAATATATGTCATATATCGAACAAATATCGGTGACGCCGAGACTAACATCCATCCACTCCATATATAATATCCATCCTTATGCGAACAAATACATTGACACCCTGACTAATATACAACCACATAAATTAATATCCAAAATCACAAACGGAATAATATCATACCTACCATGACAAAAAAAAACTTCATTTCCGGATGCCTTCCTCGGTGATATATTCATCCTCTGACTCTGAAGACATGGAAGTTGTTTGAGAAGAGAAGAACAATATGGTGGGTAAGTTGGGAAACCAGTATGTTAGGGTGGGTGCTTAAATAAACAAAGATGACATTTGAATAGTTAGTACAAGGTTCACATGGGAATAGTGACCATAAGGTTCACATGTGAATAGTTACAAACTAAGATCCATCGCATATAATATAAGTTCATAAAACAAACATCCATACCGCCCATACAAACACCCATTCACCCCCAAAAAAATATCTTTCCTTTATAGAACAAATATCCGTGGCTCCCAGACTAACATTCATCACACTAGAAATAATATTCACCCTTAAACGAACAAATATCATTGGCAACCTGACTAATATCTACCACATAAACTAATTTCTGAAATCACAAACGGACTAATATCAGGGTCTGGAAGACACACTCTCCTACTATTATTGATTCATTAGCCTTTGGCCAATGGGCCCTCGGCAGGCAGCCCTAACTAAGGTTGCAAGCCTTATGTGTTAGGACTTGATTAGCGTCTTTAATTTTGACGAAGACACAATTAATTCACAAACTAATATCCATCGCATATAATATCAGTTCATGCAAAAATTAATATCCATACCGCCCAGACTAATATCCGACCACATAAACTAATTTCTTTCGGTCCATGGATAATATTTTAGTTAAGGATGGATACTAGATTGGACGATATGAATATTAATCCGGGTTGATTTCTCTCTTCATGTGAGAATAGTTGGTGGGTGGCATTAAATGCTCAACATCACTCTCATGTGAAAATTCATCAAAAACATCAAAAGTAGCAGATGGTGGGTCATGCTTTGCTCTCTCTTTTGTCAACTCAGACCGGATATTAGTTCGTGCACTTTTCGATATTTATTTGTCTCGGCTGGATACGAGTTATCTCAGCGAATCCCTTTCTCAATCCCGTGCAAATCAAAGGTGGACCCAACCCACCTTGTTCAGCTTGGTCGGCTGGGCTGACTTGTGCAAAAAATTCCTTAAATAGTTCACTTAAATGACCCATGGTTGGGCTAACACCCTCACC